AAATAATAAAAAATAATAAATAAATTAAAAAATTGAAGTTTTAAAAAGTAAAAAATATATTTCTTATTACTATTATTAATAAATAATTACCGGTTTGAAGCTAAAATTCGTCATCCAAGTCTGCATAAAATATCCGATCATGCAAAGTTGGGTTTGTTATTGGTTGGTCGTGGAGATTCTCCTCAGCTTCTAACCTCTTGAGATTTTTGTACCCATATTTTAATGAGTACCATTTCCTACGATATTGAGAGGGAGAAGCGGCGAAACCTCTATTAAGAAACAATTGGTTGGATATGGTTCTCCATATCCTTTCATGGCAATTATTAGGAACGAACTCAAAATCGTCATAATTCTCGCGTCGAAGTCGAATTAATTCTCTTGCAGCTTCAATGATCCATTCGAATAAAGCAACAACAGGAGAAACCAAAGCCATAACGATAGAAATAAAAAAAAGGAGGATGACGAAATAGGCGGGATCGAAAAATAAAAAAAAATAAAAAAACGAAATAAATGGGAATCAAGAAATAAAAAAAAATAAAAAATGAAATAAACGAGATCAAGAAATAAAAAAAAAGAAAAGAAAAAACGAAATTAACTAGATCGAAATAAATGAGATCGAGAAATAAAAAAAAAGAAAAGAAAAAATGAAATAAATGCTGATTGAGAAATTGATGTGAAATAAAAAGTCTGAAAAAAAAAGAAAAAAAAAACGAATTAGAAATGGCATGGAATAAAAAAAAATGAAATATTAAAAAAGAAAAAAAAACGAATTAGAAATGGCGATCGAAAAAATAGTTGGAATAAAAAAATCGAAAGATAAAAGAGAGAGAGAGAGAGAGAAAGAAAGAAAGAAAAAACGAATTTAAAAAAGAAAAATGAATTAAAAGAATTGAAATAACAGACAAGAGAAATTTTATATTTGTGATTTTATTATGATATATTGTGAAAACGATAGATTTGTGAGCGTAAATTACATATATTTATATTTTTTATTTTTATTAGAGAACTTTTAATAATACAATAAAATTATTATAAAAAACTG